TTCTTAAGGGTACACAAATCCACGTATGTCTCCTCCTCTCATTTTTGTCTGAGTTTTCATAGGTACTGATACCTGTTTTATTAGATGCCCGAACCTTGCCTTCAGTGCTCCGCGCGCAAGGATTCCGCTGTCAAGAACTGCACCTTTCGTGGGTGGGGCACTCCCTGCGGTCCTTGCGATGTAGTGCATGTTTCTTCGTGTGAATACTATCTGAATGATGAATGCCGAGGGGCTGTCAGGGATGTCATCCGTAACCGGTTGGCTATTCATGCGCCTTCAGGTATGATTTTTTCTTTTTCTATTTATTTTATAGTCTTTTTAATGACTTTTCACTTATTTTTCTAGCTATATCTGCACTGATGGAGTCCATCAAAGAAGACGCGCTTCATATGCGCACCCTATCCGTGGTCCTTGAGGCCATTCGCAATCGTCGTGATGCCAATCTTCGAGAGTTCGCAAACGCCATCGCGGACCTGTGTCTCACCGCCGAGCCTGGAACTCTTCTAGGCACTGTTTTCGAGACTCGCGAGGAGTTCGGCTTGTGGTACAGCTTCGTTCAAGACTTTGTAGATACTCAGGGGGTCCCAGTGCCTGCGGGTTCAACGACGGCCGATTTGGAGAGACTCGTCTCGCTTTTTCAGCGAGACGATTCTCCTCCCATTGCTGGGCCTTCATCTCTGACACCTCGTCAATGCCGTGTCTGCTCGCTGTCCCTTATTCCTTCTATCGCCGTTGCTTCGCCTGGTCTTCCACCTTCTGCCCATTCTCAGGAGGAGGAGGAGGAGGTTATCGACGAGCTTGTTGACGAGGAGTAGGTGCGCTTGTTTTTACGGACTCTTTTACTTGGCATGCATTCGGACACCTTAGTTTTTGGACTTTCTATATCAACCTTTTTGTGTCATTATCTTTTGTAGTTAGATTCTGCTGTCCTTATAGTAGAATCTTGACTTTCTCTTTCTTGAACTTTGAGATTTGTTCCTAAGTGAGAGCCTTTTTGCATGCTTTCTAGAGTGTGAACTTGTGAATTTTCGACTTTATTTCGCATTTTTCTATCAAATTCATTCTGCCTTAGGGTTTTATTGTCTCTAGTTCGCGTTTTTATGACTCTTTTCCCCTTGGTGGTTTTAGTGAATCATGAAATCGAATTTTTTATCTATCAAGGTAGCCTTGATCCCTCCCCCTCACTAAATATTGACTGTCCTCAGTCAAAACGACTAAGTTCATAGGTCACGTGGCGTGGGAAATCCAAGGCTCGGAAAGTTTATTCTATTTTTAGACGTGATCACGCTGGAACGCGCAACTCCAAATTTTCATGCTTCAAGTGAATTGCAACGCGGAATTTCAGAACGCGCATGCCTTGGTCTCAGACACACATATAAAAGCAGGCAGTGGCGAAAATTTTTCGGACAGAACAGTTTTTTTGCTTTTCTACCACGCACTCTCATTTTACCACTCGCTCATTATGTCTATCCCACAAAACGCTCTTCCCGCCACTGTCAAGCTTCGCGAGTCCGCTCTCACTGCCTTCAAAACTTATCAGGACATGAAAGAGGGACTGAACAGCGCTGCCGCTCCCACCATTCTTGGCGTAACCACTAATTACTGTGTAAGTCGCGAATTTTTCTGTTATAAACTTCGTATTCTCTATTTCTTCGAACAAAGGCTAATACTGCGCACTTGACTAGGTTCAGCTTATCGACACC